CGCTCCAACCTCCGCCCCGCTCTCGAGCTCCGCCCCTTGCACTCCCTGGCCCCGCCCCCGCGCTCACGGGTTCCCCTCTCCAACCCCTGCCGTGGGGCCCCGCCCCTTGCATTGTGGGCCCCGCCTCCGCACCTTGGGGCTCCGCTCTCTCCGCATGCCCCCAGAAGCCCGGGGGAGGAGCTGCCGCGCGAAGAGGCGTGGCTGCGCTGCCGGTGGAGGCGCGCGCGGCGCTGCTAGGACTTTGGTTTTGGCACTGCTGCGAGCGGCCGCGGCGGCGCTGGTGCAGAGGACTGGACGCGGCTCTGGCGGAGCCCGCACCCGAGTTGCGCGCAGGACTTTTTGCCTGGACAAACGCAACTGCGGTGACGCCGCAAGTCTTAGTTCCGCCGCGGCGTGCGGGTTTCGCCGCCGCTGCAGCCGCCCGCGGGCAGCCCAGCAGCTCCGGCCGGCTCCGGGAGAGCGACGCGGAGAGTTTCTCCCGCAGAAACTGTCGAGGCGCGCGGCCCGAGGCGGCGTGAGAGGAGGCGGCCGGGCCACTGACCTCCCCACCCGCGCGGACAGCAGGGCTGTCCCGGGCTGGCCTCGGACTTCGGAGCCGCAGGTGGACGCAGGACAGACGTCTGGGAAGAGCGGCCAAGAGGTGGGTGCGGATGGATAAACCCTTCTGGGTGTCAGAACCAGGGAGTAGGAGCTCCTAACCTGCTGGTGACGCTGAGTGCTGGGCGCAGAGGTGGGGTGAGCCCTCCTTTGACGGAGCCCGGGCTGGGAAGATCCTAGCGGCGAGATGACACCAGCCCCGCCGGGAGTTGACAGGAGAGTTGGAGAGACGTGGGGCTAAGGTGTGATGCGTCTCTTTCCAAGGGTCTGCCTCCTAGCCTCTTTGGACCCCGATGGGATAAAGCCAGGATCCCTCACCCCCGAAGGAAAACTCACATGGGTCAGCTTCGTTGCGCGTGCATTTTCAGGGGTTCAGGGACAGCCCCCAGCTCAGGAACCCTGGTTATAAAACACCAGCTCTAGATGAAGATGCGCTAATGCAAATTGATTAACGGAGTCGATGTGTGGGCTCTTTAATTTGTTTTTTCAGGTGGTCCTTTTTGACACTGGGCATGAACGCTCTGGTACTTACCTTTGGAAGCCCTTGAAGCTCCTGCATCGGGCATCTTTGCTTCTTGACAGTGTGCGGAGTTCTGCAGAGGCCAGGCTGGGTCATGGGGAGCACTCTGGGATGCCACCGCTCCATCCCCAGGGACCCCTCCGACTTGTCCCACAGCCGCAAGTTCAGTGCGGCCTGCAACTTCAGCAACATCCTGGTGAACCAGGAGCGGCTCAACATCAACACGGCCACGGAGGAGGAGCTGATGACCCTGCCTGGGGTGACCCGTGTGGTGGCTCGCAGCATCGTGGAGTACCGCGAGTACATTGGAGGCTTCAAGAAGGTGGAGGACCTGGCCTTGGTCAGTGGGGTGGGCGCCACCAAGCTGGAGCAGGTCAAGTTTGAGATCTGTGTGAGCAGCAAGGGCAGCTCCGCGCAGCACTCGCCCAGTTCCCTGCGGCGAGACCTGCTGGTTGAGCAGCAGCCTCACCACCTGGCCACTACGGTGCCCCTCACCCCACGGGTCAACATCAACACCGCCACCCCCGCTCAGCTCATGAGTGTACGCGGCCTCACGGAGAAGATGGCGCTGGGCATTGTGGACTACCGCCGCGATCACGGGCCCTTTCGCAGCGTGGAGGACCTGGTGAGGATGGACGGTATCAACGCAGCCTTCCTGGACAAGATACGGCACCAGGTGTTTGCCGAGAGATCCAGACCCCTGTCCACCCACACCAACGGGGGCCTGACCTTCATGGCCAAGCCCCACCCCAGCCCCACCTCCCTGAGCCTGCAGAGCGAAGACCTGGACTTGCCGCCTGGGGGCCCCACGCAGATTATCTCCACGCGGCCGTCGGTGGAGGCTTTCGGAGGCACGAGGGATGGGCGGCCTGTGCTGAGGCTGGCCACTTGGAACTTGCAGAGCTGCTCCGTGGAGAAGGCCAATAACCCAGGGGTACGAGAGGTGGTGTGCATGACACTCCTGGAAAACAGGTAAGGACAGGGACCACCTGGAGCGATGGGTTCAAAGGCAGCTCTCTCATGGTGTGATTTTATCCATGGATGTGAATGCGTGGGCTTCTTTTGAGGTGGGAGGGTGCATCTTTGATCAGTGTTCTGGAGGGCCCTGACATGAGGCTCTTCTTTGGAGAACAGTGGTGGCTCTGAGATCGATTCCCAATTTAGTCCAAGTGGTGACTGAGGGGGAGTCTTGAGTGGTGCCAGCAGTGAACGCTGGTAACAGAAAGGTTTGGTGTTCTCAGTGGTATTGTGGAAGAAAGGTCTGGTGATCACCTTCTGAAAAATCAGCCATTGGAAACCCGGTGGAATGCAGTTCTGCTCTGACACACATAGGGTCACCAGGAGCCAAAGCTGACTCAGTGGCAACTGGGTTTTTTTTTTTAGTTTTTTTCTTTCTGGTAACTGTAGATGCTGCTGCTTTGCAGAGAGTTGTTTGGCTCACACTTCATGGGGTTTGCACTAGACAGGGAACGCTGAGCCCAGGATGGCTTGGAGCGTTTTGCACGTGAGAAGAGATCATTGAATTTTTTTTTCCTAGTGAGAAGGAAAATCAGATTGCTTCCATCAAATAGGCAAATTTGTGTGTACAAAACTGTCTTGAAGACCAGGTATCTGCAAACACATGCCCTGTGTGTCTGTACTAAAATACCGTGAATGAATTGGACTTCATTCTTTTTCCTTATTTGACCGGAGGCAGATTTTAAGTCCTACAATTGCAGCTCCAACTGTGCATAATCCCTCCAGACTGACTTTGGGGATTGGATATTGGCCAGATTTCCCCATTCGAACCCAAGGAGAAGGGAGTTGTAAGATAGGCTGTTATCACAGTGTTCCTGTTATTCACACACAACCCTCTGTAGGCACTTCCGTTAACCCCCCGTAGAACAGAGCAATATTATTGTAATAGTAGCTCCTGCTGCTAGCCAAGTAGTATATATCCTGTACACCATAATGTAGTCGGCTTCTGGAAGGGAAGAAATCTTTTTAATGGCCCCTTTCAGGATTCTCAGATGCTGACTTGAGAGCTCGTGCCCTGCCACCCCCGAGGGGTGGTGTGCCGTGGCCATTCACTGCTTTGCTTTGCACTAGTTATTGGTGAGGCTTGTGGGTGGTGATGTGAAGAAGGGGCTTGGTGGGACCCACAGTGCTTTGTTCAGGGCATCATGATAAACTGCCAAGGCGAAAAGCAGGTCAGAACATGTCCCTGCACGCTCGTGTCACTAAGGAGAAAAGGTATAAGCGTGTGGCCAGAGAATGGGACCAGAGGAGCCCTTGAGCATTGTTCTCGCCCGGCTGTGCCCTCTGTTTTGCATCATAACTCACTCCTTTTGCAAAATCATCTTGTTCATCCATGAGAGCTGGATTCGTCCCTGGGAGATATGTATGAGATGATGGTTCTCTTCCATCCATGGGAGCGGGAATAGGACAAGGGGAGAAGGAAGACCAGGAGAGATGACTGTTTTAATTCCTATGGAACATTTTCTTAAGGGTCAGTTTGGGGGTGGTGGGGAGAGGCAGCATTGTTATGGGTAGACAGGGGTGCTGTAGATGTACTTGCAGTGAGGGCATGACTGCATCAGGACCCAAAGTTGCTCCAGTGAGAATGACTATTTGGGTGGCCCTGGTCCATTGAAAATCATCCTTTTTTGGGGGGGGGAGCGGGTTGCCCACCCAAGGGGGGGGTATTATTTATATCTCCACAGGAGAGGGAGAGAGGGACAGAAACTCATCCTTAAAGTGTGGTCTCTGGACCAGTAACATTAGCTACGGACTCAGAATCTCCCAAGTTTCTGTGTGAACACTCTTCCAGGTGATCTGGAGTCCCTAGGGGTATAAACTTAACTCAGCTGCTAGCTGAAGGGTTTGAGGTTCAAATCCAATGATAGGTGCCATGGAAGAAGGGCTTGGCGGTCTCATAAATAAAAAAAGTCATTGAAAACCCTTTGAATAAGGTGACCAGATGTCCCGCTTTTTGGCATTTTTAAAAAGTCCTGATGTTTGGAAAGAATTAATGACAAGCTAGGGAATGGTCTATTTGGTCCATATAGACCAAATTTTTAATCAAGAACCCCACCCCACCCCCGGTCAATGGTGTCCCGCTTTAAATCTGGTCCCCTTACCTTTGGAGCACAGTGCTACCCTGATCCACATGGGGCCAAGAGTTGGGATCCACTGGTTCCTGATTCTGATGCTAACGTTTGAATATCTTTGTGCTCAACGGTGGGCAGTCAGCCTTCTCTCTGGCATTCTCTGAATCCTCATTCCTTTTCCCGGTTTAGCTTTTCTGACAAGGTCAGTGCTACTTGTCCTTTCATTGCTCTACACATCACTGCAGTCAGGCAACCCTATGACATCCCTTCTGGCTGGGGTTGAGGGGCTTGCTCCACATCTAGGACATTGGGATGTGACGGGTAGAAAATGGCAGAGCGAGCAGGAGGCCCATAGGTACTCTGAGCACTGGGCAGTGGGGATATCAAGGAGTCCTAATGACTCTGTCCAACCTGGAGTGGTTAGAATTTGCCCCATTTCCACCCACCCTCTCCCACCCCCGTTTTTTGTTTTTCCTTGGTTGAAGACATGCAGCAGCTTCTTCAGGTCTGAGTACAGGAAGTATTTACCCGGACCCCGTAGGCTGATAGGAAGGCATGCCTGTAAGAAATTGGAAAGGTGACTTGCCTGGATCACCTGCCCCAGTCCCCACTCCTGGGTGACAACTGCCGTCCTGTAGGTTAGTGGTTCCTATTACTTGCTCACAATGAATTCAGTGTTCTGTAAGCACCGCTAGCACATTGTTAGTATCTGGTAAACATAGAATAATAGGCTTAGGGCCTAATCCACTGCAGATTGGGGTGGGTGGAGCACCCAGATGGGTGTCCAGTGACTGTCCCAGGCTACCCAAAGACAGCTGACTGTGACCCAGGGGATCCCAAGTCCTCAAAGACAGCACTACATTTTCTCTAAGTGTTGGGTGTTCCCTCTGACTCACACACAACTTTTACATATCAAATCACTCCCTTTATTAGTAAGAGGAAGTACAAGAGCAAGTATTGCTGCATGTTGTTTTCCAGGTGGGTCTTATGTTCATATATGTACACATACAACACGAAGATTATCTGAATTCCAGGTGTGCCCTAATATTTTCCAGCGCTTATCACATGTGTTTGATTACCCCCAGTAACCCGGGAAGTAGATAATGCTGCTTTTATTAATGATTCTCTATCTCTGGCTGAGGAAATGAAAAGCAAAGACATTAGCTGACTTGCTCTGTCACATGGCTGATTAGTGACTCAGCGAGGACAAGGACCCACCTTCTGACTTTGGATCCGTGCGCTCGCATGCCTACTGTGTTTTGTAAGCTCGCCACTTTATCCAACTCTGTTCAGGTGTTCCCACATTCCACCTCTTCAAGGGCATTGCCAAACTGTGTCCCAGGCCCATTTCCTTAAATGAAATCCCATTTCAGAGAAACCCTTGGGCAGTTATTTTGCAAAGGGAATAGCTGGCTCTTGGCTTTCCTTTCTCTGCATTTGCTTCAGCAGGCAGGATTTCTTAAGCTGAAGAGTACTGGTGTGATGTGGGAAACACAATCCTTCCTTGCTCTGAGGCGCTGCTGCCGTGGTGGAAAGTGGTTCTGTGCGCACAGCCTGGGGGAGGCCGGCCGCACACGGCTAGACGGCCACTCCGTGGCCGTGATGACAGCCCGAGCGGCCCAGAGCTGACGGGTTTCATCACATTCCTTTGCTCGAGCTCAGTCTTGGGCAATATTTTCCTTGTTCGGTATTTATGGAGCAAGAGGAATGCTTCTGCTAAATTTCCTCGCAAAATTGGGTGACAGTCCACATAAGGAATGAAAATTATTCTGCCCCACTCCTGCCCCTCCCCACCCCCCGGCCTGCACCCCCGAAGGAGTTGTTCTATTAAAAGGTCCTTTGGTTACTGAAAGCTGAGCCCTGGGGGAGCTGACAGATAATCTCCAAAAGAAATGAGAGCTAGCATCTCGGTCGCCCATTTGTCCCATGGCCTACATCCGAAAGGGACCGGAGTGTCAACGTGTGTACGCTGTACGATGATTTAAATCTGTTTTCTGCCACGCGTCCACTCTCTCAAAGTGCAAGATGGATCAGGGCTTGGCAGCGAACACTGATTGTGAATAAAGAGAATGTAGTTCATTAGACCTGGTTAGTAGGCTCCCTATCTACATCACCCTTCTTGTCATTTGGTTCATTCACTGGAAAATATGGACTGAATGCCTGCTAGGTGCATAACACAAAAAATAACCAAACTCTCTGTCGTGGAGTCCATGCCAACACAGGGAGACCCTATGGGACAGCGTAGAACTGCCCTGTGAATTTCTGAGACTGTAACTCTTTGTGGGAGTCGGAAGGCCCGTCTTTCTCCCAAAGAGTGGCTAGTGGTTTCAAACTGCTGACCTGGCAGTCAGTAGCCCTACTCATCTCCACTCCTTCATCAGAGCTCAATTCAGAAACCCACTTGGCCATGCTACTTCACAGATTAAGGTGAATGTGGACAAAGTGAGTGCGTCAGAATCCAATAGTGTGGTAAACTCAGATTGTGTCAGGTAAGTCGCTGATCATGATGGGTTATGCTGTTCCCAGTGAGAATAAAAGGCCCGCTCCGAGGGATGGAAGGCAGTTGGGGTGGGTGGATGAAGAGGGACATAATATGTGAGAATAAAATGCACAGCGATGTTCTCGGAGTAGCCAATCTGTAATCTATTTTGACGGCCGGAAACTGGGGCTCAGGAGAGAGGCGGTGGCATTTGAGTGGCCTTCCCTGAGGAGGCAGGATTTCAAGCCAGGCAGTTCCGGGTGACTTCAGAGTGGGGAAGAGGGTGCCTTTCCCCAAATAACGTGCTCTCCTGCTTGTCCCCTCCCTGTTGTGGGACGTAATCTGGCCAGGTATCAGTAATCTGGGATGTAATCTGCCTTGGGAAAGGTGGGGCTTCCCCTTTG